CTCAGGGAGTGCAACTATAAAAGAATGAAGAGGGTTATAAAAATTCCTACGATAAGATTCTGCCTCAAATTGCTTTGTTGATATCTCAAGTTCTCGCTCCAATTTAAAGAAACCAAAACTGGAAATTAAAAAAAAAATGCAATATTGGAGTATTTTAGGCCCCCCAAAAAGGATGATGTATAAAATTAAATAAAAGGCTTGGTCTTGCCTTAAAGAAATGACAACTAAATGTACATTAATGTTTTCTATTCTAATGTTTGAACGGGAGTTTGTTTGTGTGCTTCCTTTCTTCACCCAATGTTTTGATCGACTAACCAGCTACCAGTATCAATGTGCTAGTTGAAAGGCTTTCTCTTATAGTATGAATTTGAGATAGGATAATAAAGGAGCAGACTGAAGAGGGAGGCAGGAGGTCTCTAACAGTCATGATGTTGCATTCTGCAGACCAGGCCAAGTCCAGCCTGAAGCCTACTTTTATAAATAAAGTTTTATTGGGACACAGCTACGCCCATTCAGCTACAGGATTGTCTATGGCTGCTTCCTGGAATGGTAGAGTTGGGAAATTGCTACAGAGATACAGGAAGGTTTAGGCCATGCCTGCAGAAAAGGCATGAAATCCTGCCCCTTGTCCGGTTGCTTCTCTCAACAAAAAACCTTAGGCCACTGAAGGACCAAATACCATTGCCCTGGAGCAGAGGGAAAGGCACCGAAACAAACAATAAAAATCTCTCAACTCTGGGGGATGAAGACATAAAATGACTGGCCCAGGATACTACACCAATCTATGAGCAGTCTCCTGCCACGAAGGGAAGGTCATGAAACCCTCTCCCACACAAGACCTACCACAGACATAAGGCAGGAGTCTGACTGCCACAGGGGGGAGGAATTGGAATATGGAGAATGCTCACCCCAACCCCCAGGCCCCAGCACACGGATGTATGTAAGACTGAGGCTGAGCATGGACAAAAGAGACTCTACAACCACCAGCTAAGTAATCTTTGAGCAACAAGCAGCCGCAGAGTTACAGAAATACAAATGCAACTGAAAGCTGAGAGCGGAGCATTAAAACCCTCCAGCACCCCCAGCTCCCATCCTAATAGAGTGTCCAAGGAGGAAGTGAAGCCTGTAGGGGCTGAGGATGACCATAGCAACAACGACACCCAAGCCCAGCTAAGTTCCTGAGTGGAATGATTCAACCCCAACTCTAACAGCCTGAGAGAAGTGTGCCTATATCCAGCATAAATACTAGTAACCTCAGTCTCTTATGTTCTTTGCCATGCAATGTTTGCCATTCAATCAACATGTAAAACACAAACACACACACCCCGTTGTCAAGAGCCAAAGCAACTGAAAGAACCAGACAGATGATTCAGTTGTTGGAACATGAGATAGAAACTTTAAAATGATTATTATCGATGGGAAAAGACTTTAAAAAACACTTCATGAGAGAGAAACATGGATGCAGATAAGTACGTGATAACACGTTGGACATCATTAGTCATCAGGGAAATGCGAACTGAAGTCATGATCAGAGACCACTATACTCCTAGGAGAATGGCTAAAAGAAAACATACTGACAATATAGCAAGTCCCCCTTATCCACAGTTTCCTTTCCCACGGTTTCAGTTACCCGCGGTCAACCGCCATCTTAAAATATTAAATAGAAAGTTCCAGAAATGAACAAGTCATACATTTTAAATTGCACGTCATTCTGAGTAGCATAACGAAATCTCATGCCATCCTGTTCCCTCCTGCCTGGGACGTGAATCGTCGCTTTGTCCAGCATCTCCACACTCTATAATGCCCTTTAGTCATTTATAGAATCAGTTATCAGATTGACCGTCACAGTGCCACAGTGCTCGTGTTTAACCTTTATCTTACTCAATAATGACCCCAAAGCCATTCACATAACTTTCATTACAGTATATTGTTATAATTGTTCTACTTTATTATGAGTTATTACTGTTATTTTATTACTGTGCCTAATTTATAAATTAAACTTTATCACAGGTGTGTACGCATTGGGAAAACATAGTATATATAGGGTTTGGTACTATCTGTAGTTTTAGGCATCCACTGGGGGTCTTCAAACATATCCCCTGCAGATAGGGGCACTACTACACCAAATGCTGGCAAGGCCAAAGAAACACTCTCTCACATTTTTTGTAAGAATGCATAGACAGCAGCTCTGGAAAACTGTTGAGTAGTTTCCTATGATACCCAGGAGTGGCCCAACAACCTCACTCCTGGGTATCTATCTTTGGGAAATAAAACTTATGTTTACACAAAATCCTACACATGAATATTCCTATCAGCTTTATTTAGAATAGCTGAAAACTGAAAACAACCCAAATATAATGAGCTTATCCTCCTGTGTCCTCAGGTGGTTTCCAGGGACACCCAAGCCAGGAACCCATAACACGTGGTGGACTTGCTCTACCTCACATCCAAAATATCGAATACTCAGTCACCAATTCCTCCTCATTTTACCTTGTAAGGTATATCTCAAACCTGCATCCTTCTCTATATCCTTATTCCTATTTGACATACATTAAGTACTAATTATCTCTTTCTTGAATGTCTGCATAGTATCCTAACAAGTATAATGGTAGCTGCAATATCGGAGCTATCAGATTGATTCCCCCCACAACAGTAACTAAAGAAACCTATTGAAAACATGTGTTGGGATACATAAAAATTCAGTAGCTCTCACGGTGTAAAGGAAAAATGCAAGCTCCTTTAATTGGCACATGGGACCCTAAAAGGTCTGGATTTTTGTCTCTCCAGGCCCTTTTCTCGCCACTTCCAGCTGCTATTTTAGGCTTCAGCAACAAGGAACTGATGTTGTTTCATGAACACGAGCCATGTCATTTCTCATCTCACTTTTTCTCATTTCCATGACTTTGTGCTGTCATCTGTGCCTAGAATCAATGTCCTTCACACCCTTTTCCCCTGACCTATCCTTACTGACCTCTTAGGGTACTCTTTCATTCATCACTTCCCCCCACTCCACTTACTTGCTCCAACTGGAAACCCACACTCACATTTATAAGAAATTGCATCAAAAGAATAATAAAGACTGTTGTAAGCCTATTTTGGCTTCCCTGAATATAACAGTTTCCTAGGATCTTTCACTGAATAAATTTTAAAAAGCAAGAATAATAACATAAAAGTGATTAAGCTTTTAAAGTGTACCCTTTGTTCCCAAGGTCTTATTAATTACCATTTAGGAAAGGCTTATTTGCAAGGTACTCAATTACTTAGGTAACTGAATAGCTCTTTACTGATCAGATAGAGCAGCATTTGCTTAATAGCAGATAACGAATGCTGTGGCATAGTTTTATTTAGAGTCTGCTGCCAGATATGGACTTATTTAAGGTTGAGCTCCAGGAAAAAAAAAGAAAGAAAGAAGAAGTTTTAATGGAGTCTATTATAATTGTTCAGATAGCCACTTAGAGCTAGAGAAATATAAGTTTAGGGTTTTTTGCCCACTATTTTTAAATTAAGGAATAAGTAAACCCAAAAAGAAATTAGGGAAAACGGTGGAGTAGGTAAATGCTGTGCTTGACACCTCTCACAACCACAACAAAATTACAACTAAACTACAGAACAATCTCAAGGATGACTGAGAATCACCTGAAGTCTAGCTGAACAGAAGTCCTATAACTAAAGACATACAGAAGAAGCCACCTCGAGACTATTAGGAGGGCAGAGATGTAGATTGGGTTAGACTCACACCCACGTGTGGCAGTTAAAAATCAGGAGGGATGTCTTTGCTGCAGAGGTCCCTCCAGAGAAGCGAGGAGTCCCGGCTGCAGTCCAGGCTTCCCAGCCCAGGGTTCCAGTGCTGGGAAGAGGTTCCCACAACTTCTGACTGTGAGAACCAGCAGAGATTGTGAGATGAAGGGCAGCTGGAGTCCCAGGCATTTCTCTTAAAGGGCCATGCATGGACTTACTTGCTGATGGATGCACTCACTCTGAGCTTCAGCTCTAGGTCAGCAGCTTGAAAGGTGCCAGGGAAATACAGCAAGGAACTGAATTGTCTGGCTTCAGGGCAAGGGCTGGAAGGGCAGCTTTCTCCCAGACAAAAGTGCTGGCAAAAGCAATTGTTGCTTTATTGAGCCCTCCTCCGCTGGGCATGCAGATGCAGGCAGCCGCCATGTCTGAGTCTCCAACAACCTGGCTTGCCCTGCCCTCATGGTTTCCTGAGACTCCGCCCCCCCCAACTTGTGGGCACACCAAGCCATTTTGCTTCCAGTGGCTTTTGCATACAAATGGCCTGTATTGGCTCATGCTGCAGACTTTCCTAAAATCTCTCAAGGGTTCACAAAACCCAAACAAGTAGCATCTGACCTCAGCATGTTCCATACATTTACTTGAGCAGCCCCAAGTCCAGCACTATTGGCGGTCAACCTCAGTTTGTAGCTTAGCCTCTCCAGGCACCACCAAGTCCAGCACAGGTGGCAGCCATCTATAGATTGCTTGGTAGCTCTTGCTAGGTTGCCCTAAGCAAGGCACAGACTGTAGCTGTACTTGGCCTATGGTGGGGCCCCTCCCAGAAGGCCCTGGGGCTCGTACAGCCAGTGGCTAGCTTCAGATCAAGCCAGAGCACCACCTGGGGCCTCATCCAAGAACAACATATCCTAAGGGAAAACTGAGCAGGCCTTTTATTGATCCTCACACAGTCTTTGTTTTAGCACAGGTCTAACCCCAATCCCCCTTTAAAATTCCTCTTCTGTGACTTACAAGGTCAACTCTATGATTAGTATGATTCCCTTTCAATCATTACCAAAATCCTTCCTAAATGGCTACATCTAAGTAGTAACAAGTTCCAATTATAAAAGTCAAGGGATTCCTATCTTGCCTTAATGTTCCTCAGTGGCCTCCTGATAAATCAGAAAGGAAAAAAAAAAAAAAAAACCAACTCCAAGGAATTCATTTCTACTGTGGCCTGGCTGCAACTTTGAAAGAGACTGAAATTAAATTGTGTGTTTTGTTAGACTCTTTCACAGGACTGGTTAACATCTTGACAGATATCATTTGGCGATTCACCGGAGACTTCCTGGCACCTGATCTGGTTTGCCGAGTGGTCCGCTACTTGCAGGTAGGTAGCATCTTCCACATGTGATGAGACAAACTGACATCAAAATTAGCTCTTGCATTTCTCATAAGGAAAATAATATAAAAACCTGCACTGATGTGCGAGAAACTGCTTACTTCCTCCTAGTTAAAAGGACAAGCAAAATTTGTAAGATTTTTAAATGTGTTTCTTTTGCTAAAATCATACATGGAGAAAACACAAATAAGCAATAATAAAAACATCAGCATTCAAATTTCAAGCATTAAGTAAAATTTCTGGGTCAGTGTTAAGGCTTTTGACATAGTCTGGCTGTCTCAGTCCATTCAGGCTGTTAAAACAAAAATACTACAGAGCGAGGGCTTATAAACAACACTTATTTCTCATAGTTCTGGAGGCTGGAAGTCCAAGATCAGGGTGCCAGCGCGGCCGATGAGAACCTTCTTTCAGATGCAGACTTCTCATTTTACCCTCAAGAGACAGAGGGGCCCTGGAGCCTCTTTTATAAGCCACCAATCCCATTCACGAGGTCTCTGCCCTCATGACCTAATCACCTCTCAAAGGCCCCGCCTCCTAATGCCATGACTTGGGCTTCAGGATTTGTGGAGACACAAGCTTTCAGACCATATTGTTGCACTAGCTAAGCAATCTCCAGAAAAAGTTTCAAATTCTTCTTGTATTTTCTCTCTTCTCATCAACCTAATGCTGGCTACTGTTCTTTTGGAAAAGCTTCAGCAGTTTGTTAGAAAATAGGTATTATCTCTAGTTGTTTTAACTTGCATTTCTTGTAGTACCACCTAAATTGGACTTTTTAAAATATCTATTGCCATTTGAATTTCTTCTTCTCTAAATTGCCTATTCTTTTTCAATTCTTTTATAACCGGCATATTTATTTTCTCAGTTATTGCTAATATCTATTTTTTAGATTAAAGACATTTATATTTTGACTGTCAAATGTGCTTCGCTGTAAAAAGTATAATTGTAAAAATATACATATTCGGTATAAAATATTACATATGTACCATATACATATATTGTATTATTAATATGTCATATGTGTCCATAACATATATTAAGGCACTTCAACTAAGTATGGAAAGAATGGACTATTTCATAACTGGTATTAAGATGATTGTCTTCTGTTTCCGAGTCCTTAAAATTATTTTCCATTAACATATTGTACTTCTGATGCCAGCACTTCAGGTCTAAATTCTTGTAGCTTTAGAGAGGTATAATGCATTTCTACAAAAGCTTATCTTGCTGGATTCCATTTTACAGTAGGATTTTAAAAAATCTTTGCATCTATATTCATAAGCAAGATTATAATTTTCACTAGCTCTATTATTTTCAGGCCTTGGTAATAGAGTTATTCCATTTTCAGAAAATGAACAGAGAATAGTTACAATTAAAAATCTTCTTTTGTGCTCTGAGCATAATCTTGTAACTGTAGTAGATGTATTAGATCCCTTAATACTATCTAGAGCTGGTATTTTCTCAGGTGTATATTTAAATATTTTAAAAAATGTTTTAAAATTTCTAAATATTTAAAAATATTTTAAAATTTAAAGTATTCTTAAATTTCTTCTTGAGGATTATAGCTTCCTTGTAGGTAAATGTTTTCAATTGTTTACTGTATCCATTGCCAAGAAACAAATTAAGCCAGTACTCAGTGGCTTAAAACGATAAACAGTTATTATCTCTGCTTCGAGAATTCAGAGACAGCTTGGCCTGGCAGATCTTGCTAAAGGCTCATCATAAGGTCCATCAGATGGTGACTAGGACAATGGGCGTTGGAAGGTTTGGCCAGGACTACACAATTCGCTCTGAAGGAGGTTCGCTCACATAGCTGCAAGTGAGTGCTAACTTTAGGCAGAATATTCAGCTCTTCTTCACATGGGCCTCTCCACAAATATTCCTTAGTGTCTTCACAATTTAGCAACCAGCTTTCCCAAGAATGAGTTATCCAAGAGACCACGGTAGAACTAGTCTCAGAACTCATACACCGTCACATCCACATTATTCTGTTGGCCGCACAGGTCAGCCCCTATTCAATATGGAGAGAAAAGAGCCACAACGGGAATGAAACCAGAAGGCAGGATCATCGGGAGTATTTAGAGGCTGGTTGCCATACTTACCTTTGCATTTTTCAAAAACACATTATCACCTGTTTTTGCTAATTGTTAACTTAAAAATATCTCTTCGATCCAGAATTATTGGTGTCAGCAATATTCCTTCTGACAGTACTTACAATGAATATCCAGATAATACTATACATATAAAATATATTTTGGTGACAGAGCAAAAATAACAGAATAAGAAACTGATAATTCTCTCCTCCATAAAGGCAACAAGAAAACTGTTAAAAATTGTCAGCATCAAATTTTTAACCACTCTAGAAATTAATGAAAGGTTTTTAATAATCCAGGGAGCATTCATACAAAAAAAAAAAAATGGCTGCATTTCAGTAAGAAAAATGATATTTGTGGTGTTTGAACTTGTACCAGTCTCATCTCCGGTCTCTAGATTTGTGGTGGTCTTGAAAATTAACAGCTCGTATTTATAATGAAAACAGATCATCTGGCAGCCACTCAAGAGAGCAGAAGAGGGCCAGAGCTCTTTAGAAAGCCTCATTCCTAGGAAATCGTCATTATTGGATGTGTCTGGCAGTTCTCTAGAAGACCCCGCTTTGCAAGGCTGCCTTTTTATTTGATTCAGAACTCAGACACAGGGAAAAGCCTTTTTCCTGAAGGCATTTGTCAAAAACAATTACAGGTGATTGATTAACTTCACACAGGCCTAAGGTATTGTAAAACAGTTGGGGAAAACAATAGACTAACCTGAAGCTTAAAAACAAGCTGGTTAATGAGGTGTTCACAGGGGTTGGGAAATCTCTGACCAGTCTCAGAGTCCTGAGAATCTGGCAGACCAAGAGCATACTCAGGACTGCCGTGGTGCTCAGGCAGAAACAAAGAAGGCCCTAAACGCTCACCTTTGGCTGACCTCGAAGCTCAGGAGGCAAAGCAGAGTCAGTCTTCAGTTGCCTAGCTGAGTGTCAAAAGTATGCCCCATCGTTCACACAGAGCCCCTCTGCAGTGACTGGAAGATGTATTGGTTCCAGGCATTTGTTCATCAATTGTGACAAATGTACCACTCCTATGTGGGAATTTGATGTCCAGGGAGGCTGTGCTATGTGAGGAGTGTGAGCCAATGTGAAAACTCTGTACCTTCCATTCAGTTGTGCTGTGAATTTAAAACTTCTCCTAAAAATAATGTCTATTAAAAAATGGAATAAAGGATCCCAGAACTGTGAGACAATTATAAAACATGTAAATAAAATCAGTTCATGTCATCTATCACATCAAAAATGTCAAGAAGAAAATTTATATGATCATATCAGTAGACACAGAAAAGCATTTGACAAAATTCAACGCCTATTTATGATTTAAAAAAAAAAATCTCAGCAAACCACACATAGTGGGAAACTTCTTCAACTTAATAACATCTACAGCAAACCTACAGAGAACCTCATACTTAATAGTGAGAAACCACAAGTTTTCCTCCAAAGACTGGGAATGAGGAACGATGTCCCTCTCATTCCTCTAGCATTGCCCTGGAAGGTCCAACGAGTTCAACAAGACAAAAAAAAAACGGAAATCAGAGGTATACAGATTGAAAAAGACAAAATAAAAATAATTTTGTTCACCGATGACAAGATTGCCTATGTAAACAATACAAAAGAATAACAAAACAAAACAAAAAAGCCTATAGAACTATTACGTGAGAATAGCAAGGTTGCAGAATATAAGGTTAGTATATAAAAGTCAATTGTTCTTCATACACCAGCAAAGAACAATACTATTAAAAACACAATACTATTTATGTTAGCACCGAAAATATGAACTGCTAAGGCACAAACCTAACCAGATATGTGCAAGATAAATATTTTAAAAAACTATAAAACTCTGATGAAAGAAACTAAAGAATATCTAAATAAATGGATAGATATTCCATATTCATAGATAGGAAGACTCGCTGTTGTTAAGATGTCAATTCTGCCCAGTGTGATTTATAAATTTAACGCAATCTCAATCAAAATCCTGCAAAGTTATTTTATAAAGAAAACTAAAGTTCACACAGACAGGCGAAAGACACAGAAGAGCCAATGCAATGTTGAAGAAGTAGAACAAGGTTGAAAGACGGCCACTATCTAATTTCAAGACTTACTATAAAGCTACAATAATAAAGACAGTATGAAATTAGTGAAAGAATCAACAAATAGACCAATGGAACAGAATAGGGAGCCAAGAAACAGATGCACACAAATAGAGTCAACTGGTTTTTGACAGAGGAATAAAGGCAATTCAATGGAGAAAGGATAGAATAATCTGTTCAAGAAATGCTGCTGGAGTCATTGTACATATACGTGCGAAAAGGAGGAGGAGGAAGAGGAGGAGGAGGAGGAGGAGGAGGAAATTCCAACCACTGATCTATAAGTTTCACAAAAACAAACTCAGTGTAGATCATAGACCTGAATGAAATATGCAATACTATACAATTACTGTAAGATGACATAGGAGAATATCTAAGAGAGTTTGGGTTTCTCAATGGCTTTTTAGCTACAACACCAAACACAATCCATAAAAGAAAAAATTGAAAAGTTGGATTTTATGAACATTTTAAACTTCTTCTCTGTGAAAGACACCATAAGAGAATGAGAAGACAAGGCACAGAATAAGAAAAAAAAGTTTGCAAAACACGTTATTGACAAAGGAGTTGTATCCACAATATACAACAAACTCTTAAGATTCAACAATAAGAAAATGAACAACCTGTTTAAAAATGAGCAAAATATCTGAACAGACACTTTGCTAAAGAAGATATACAGATGACAAACAAGCATATGAAAAGAAGCTCAACATTATATGACATTAGGGAATTGCAAATTAAAACAAGATGCCACTATATACTTATTAGAATGGCCAAAATCCTCCAAAAAACAATGATATGAAATGCTAGCGGGAAGGTGTAGCAACAAAAACTCTGATTCATTCTTTGTGGGAATTCAAATGGTACAGCCATTTTGGAAGATAGTTTGGCAGTTTCTTATAAAATTAAACCTACTCTCACCATATGATCTAGCAATTGTGCTTCTAGGTATTTACTCAATTGAGTTGACAACTTACATTCACACAAAAACCTGCATGAGAATCTTTATAGCAGTTTTATTCATAATTGCCCAAATCTGGAAGCAAGATGTTCCTCAAAAGCCAAATGGATAAATAAACTTTGGCACATTGATATGATGAAATATTATTCAGCAGCAAAACAAAACGAGCTATCAAGTAACAAAAGACATAGAGGATAACTAAACCATGGTATATCCATATGATGGAATATTATTCAGCAATAAAAAAATGAGCTATCAAGACATGAAAAGTCAAGGAGGAATCTTAAATGCACATTGCTAAGTGAAAGAAGCCAGTCTGAAAAGGCAACATACGGTACGATTACTACTACGCGAGATTCTGGAAAAGGCAAAACTGTGGAGACAGTAAAAAATGATCAGTGGTTGCCAGGGATTTAGAGGGATTGAATAAGTAAGGCACAGTGCATTTTTAGGGCGGTGAACCTTCCCTGTATAATACCGTAATGGCGGGTAGATGACATTATGCATTTGTCAAACCCCATAGAACTGTACAACTCAGAGTGAACTTTAATATAAACCACACACTTTATATTAATGTGTCAATATGGGTCCATCAAGTTTAACAAACGGACCACACTAACGTAAGACATTAATAATAAGGGAAAGTGCGGGGCGGGGGGCGTTAGTATGGGAACTGTCTTGTGCTACCTGTTCAGTATTTTCTGTAAATCTAAAATTGTTCTAAAAATGAAGTTCATTAAATTTTTTTAAGTCCGCCCAGGACTTGTCCTTTAAATGAATCCAAACTGGCACTTTTTAAAAATAAAATATCTCTCTTTCCTCCCTTTAAGTCTCACTTCTCTGCAAAATTTTCTTTGGCATCATTATTCCTAGGTCATTTTTGTCAGAATTGAAGGGTGGGGTAGTGAGAATTCAAACATATGTCCTCAAGCTGCCATCTGTTCTCCAAATGGTATCCCATATGTTGTTGATGTGTAGAATTTTCATTGTTGACATTTATGAATTGACTATAATTGTACTTTGATTTCCTTCTTGACTCAAGTTAATTATAAGGGTGTTTAAATTTCCAAGTGGTATTAAAAAAACCCATGATACTAATTTCAGTTTTTATTGCTGGTTGTTTTAAATATATGAATTGCAAAAGTTCCAGTTTTTGGAATCCACTGAGGGTTTTTCTTTCCCTTGGTAGTTTAGTTTATAACCAATTTCTGAAATATTACCTAGATATTTTATAATAATGTGTATTATTCATAAAATATATTTAATTTTTCCTATCTATGTATTACTGTGTTTTTTCTCTGTACAAATGAACATTTTAGTAGTATATATTTAGTGTTATGTTATTTGTTTCATGTAAGTTTATTAATATTCACTTGCCATTATGAATCGTATCATTTATAAATATAAATAATTCCTTTATCCCATGTAGTGCTATTTGTTTTGAATTTAATTAGTCTAACGGTGCTATTGTAATGAATGCCTTCTTTTAGTTTTTAGTTGCTTGATACACCTTTGGCCATTTTTCTATCACTCCATTTTTACACTTTGATAATCATTTCATCATACAGATTTTTCTTCTAAACGGTCAGACTTGAGAAACGTTTTGTAAACAGTCTTTGTTTTAGTAAAGGAGCTTAAGTCATTTGTTGTGACAAATAGTGCTTGGTCAATATTTGTTTCAGTTACCTCATTCTAATATCTCTGTGTCAAATTTTTTCCTCGTTACTTGTTTTTTCTTATTTGATTATTAATTATAGTAGTTGGAAAAATAGCCCCAAAAGATATTCAAATCCTAATCTCTGAAACATATGTATATTACCTTATATGGAAAAAAAAAAAAGACTTTGCAGATGCAATTAAGATAAGGATCTTGAAATAAAGAGATTATTCTGTCCAAATACAATCATATGTATCCTTACAAGGGGAAGCAGAGGGAGATTTGACACAGACAGAAGAGGCATTGTAACCACAGACACAGAGATGGGATTGGTGTGGCCGCAAATCAAGAAATGCTGGCAGCCACCTGAAGCTGTTAAGGTCAAGTTCCTGATTGTCCCGTAGAGTCTCTGGAGGAAGAGTGTTCCTGCTAACACCTTGATTTTAACCTGTGTAACTGATTTTGGACTTCTGGTCTCCGGAACTGTGAGAGAATACATTTATGTTGGTTTAGCCACAAAGTTTGTGGTAATGTCTTACGAGTAGCCATAGGAAATTAATAATTTTTCTCCAATTTTATTCCACTCTATTATAGCTTATCTTTAATTTTAAATTTTATATGTCTCCGTCAAAGTAAAAAAAAAAAATGTCTAAAATGTCTAAATGAAAATTTAACATGATTTCTTTCCTTCTACCCTCTCCTCTCACTCAAGGTCCCAGATTTTTTTCCTGAAATGTTTCCTAACTATATTTATAGTTATTTTGGAAACATGTTGTGTTTTTCTGACTAATTGCTTCCCATAGCTGCTATTATTCAATCGTATTCCCTCTTCTTGAGTTCTTAATTTTGAAACAATTCTCAAACAGCAGAAATATTTTCTCCAGGAAAATTTTGCATAAAGACTATGTGATGTTACGCTTTCTTCCTTCTTACATATCTAAGAAAATTATTCTGTGCTGTGGCACAGAAATGATATTCACACAATTCTTGGATCATAATTTTTCTTTCAAAACTGAACATGTTTTTATCCTGTTTTCTGGCATTTATTTTTGTGGAGAAAAGCATGACAAGTTGAGATGCGTTTCTTTTATGTAAACTTTAATATATATATTTTTTACCCTGCCTAGATGTTTAAAGACTCCTGAAATTAAATACTCTTTTTGGCTGTATCTCAAAACAGATCTCTTTCTATTAACATTGCTTGCTCCTCTAGGCACTCTTTACTGGGACCGTCTTCCCGCCCCAGATTCTGGAGTTGCGTCAGCCACCTCACTCAGTACAGCCACAGGTGGCCACGATTCTTATGACCGTCTCACCATGACATTCCACCCCCACAGGGTTCACCCTTGGGAGCTCTCTTGCCTGTCCGTCTCTGATGCCATCTCCTCATCTGAATTCATGGTTAACACGTGGAAAACCCAGTTTTCTCTCTGGGGATAGCTGTCTGATTCGGGGGTGAAATTTGGCCACCGTTTTTCTTTCTGTCCATATATCGCGTTTTTAGCAGGAGGAAAATTTCTCCTGATATCGTTCACGGGGCCTTCGGTCCTCGGTCAGTCCTCAGAACCTTCTCCCTTCAGCAACTTTCTCCACATTAGTTCTGGGATACATTTGTGATAGTGTTATAGAAACGAAAATAATAGAGAACAATGTCATTGATTGTTATTTGTCTGA